CCCCCCCCCCGAGAAAGGAGTAATAGCACTAATAGTAGTAGGAGTAACAGGGACAAATAGAAAAACGTTAACTTTTCACAGTTGTACCGCATGAGAAAATCGATCAACAAGTTTTAAACTGTGTTAGTTACTTGTCGGTTTCAAAAAATAACGAAAACTAAAATTAAAATAATTTTTGAAGATTTTAACATGAATGACATACCACAACATCCAACATCGATTGCCAATTCTGAAGAAGTTACATCAGCAATAAATGCTGCATTTGCTGAATTTCTTGCTGCCGAACCTACTACTACTTCAACTACTGTTATTTTACCTCATCAACAAACTATTGATTCAACAAGACTAACTAATGACATTACAAATAAGGACAGTGATCGGTTAAGTAGTAGTAGTCGATCATCGGCACCATATACAGCATCGACGTATACACACAATGGTATGACATTGTTTCTTTCGTTTTTTTAGGTACTTAGAAATAGTACATGCTCTATAAATAAATTAACATTTATAGATTCTTCATCTTCATCATTAACTACAAATGCAACGAATCTACCGCGTTATAAAACTCTACTTGATAAATATACACCGAATGATGACCTACAAGATTTACCTATATCAAATAGTAACACTCCTATGGAAAATTTTTGTAATACCTCTACATCTTCAAGTACTCAAAGAAAGCGACCACGATCAAATGAATGCAATTCATCGAAACGATTTCATCAACTACAAGCATCAACAGGTAAATATAGTGGTATCTACTGAGCGTTGATGTTGTTTTTGCCATCTGTAGTTTCTTATTCTGTATATTATCATCGTATTCTTTAGGGTCTGAAACTATCAGTAACAGAGTAAAAATTAACACTTGATAGAGATGACAGAAAATGAATTAGCGTACAATTAAAAGTCAATTCTCAAGGTCGTTGTTGCTTCATCATTGACAATCATTTTATTTATCAATTCATAAAAACGACGATGATTATTCCTATCAGATAATTCTATTTTCAAATCAAATTTAAAAAAAAACATGACTTTCAAAATATTGCAAACGTCAACTTAATAAATCTTCAGAATAATTCTTGCATTTATCAATGATTAAAGTTCGAGTTTAGAAAAGAAAGAGAGAATATTGTAATATGTGAATTTCCTGAAAAATGTCTTTTTTTCCTTATGATTTGTTTATGATATTAGTTAGAATTTTCTACTTCAATAGTTTTCCTCTTGACCTTTCTGCATGCAATCTAATCTCTTTCTTTTTTAGAAACATACGATCAACCATTACAAATTCAAGAATGTTCATCATCGTCGAATGAAGATGATGAACATATTTCAATAAATGATTCCAATCTATTACTACAGTCTACAAGACCACCGATTCATAATGAAACAAATCGAACTCATTTTGGAATACTCGATTCTAGTGATGACGAAGATTCTCCAAATAATCTTTTTGCACCACATCGATCATTAAATTCTCCATGTCCATGTTTGCATCATTCATATACAGGAATCTCATCGTCATTTACTCAAACTAATCCACAATCTATTCCTTGCTCTCAAGTGACCTTGCCAATTTCACAACAGAATCATAATCCATCTCATTTACGACAACAGTGTAGTCAAAATCTAACATCAGAATTACGTCGACAACGTCTTAGTGCATTTCAAAATCACATACCATCATCGTCATCGTCATTGATGATTAGAGCTGATCAACATTTACAAGCTCTGTTAAACAACGCACCAATAACAATAAGTAATACTCCTCATACTTTGCCAAGTCAACTCACTGCAACAAATTATCCAAATTTAAATAGACATTCAACAACAAGAGCTAATCAAAGTTATCCATGGCCACCAACACCATTATTATTTCGTTCATTTCGTAATCCTCTTTTTCTACGTAACAATGAACATGTTTTTGAAGAATTACTACGCATGGAAGAACAATTAAATGGTTTAAATAATTCGACGAATATTGGTGCAAATCAAGAACATATTGATTGTCGAACACTTTCATATAAATATGTGAACGAAAAACGTTTCATTGAAGGAAAATGTACAATATGCTTATGTGAATATGTTCAAGATGATGATGTACGTCGTTTACCATGCATGCATCTATTTCATATTGAATGTGTTGATAAATGGTTAATGCAAAGTAAACGATGTCCAATATGTCGAATTGATATTGATTTTCAAGGAGATTTTGGTGATTATATTTGCTAGAGTAAGATTATATTTTATTGTTTAATATATATTCTATCGTTTATGTATAAACTAATTTTCATTGTATTTTTATGAATTGGAAAAAATGAAAATATCGTTTGTTTATTTTAATTTTTGATGCATTACTAATATTCATTGGTCATTTATTTTTCATTTGGCTCTTTCGAACTGTGTCTTTGTTTTTCTTTTTATAATAAAGAACAGTTTTTTTTCTTCGTTTAAGCCTACATTTAAATAAAGATATTTTTTGTATTTAATTATCAAGTGAATATATATGAAAGAATGTTAGTATGTGATTTATATCCTACTAATTCAGTTTGTGTTACTTACAATTACGTAGGCAAGAAAAAACGAGAAAGTATCAGATTTTTCTCTTTCTTTTATTTCGTTCTATCCTTTTTCGATGTATGACTTATAGAAAAAAAAGTCGCTTGTCTATTCTTTTTCATTCGACGATTTCATTCATTCGTATTTACCAGTATCTACGCGTGTAGGTTTATACAACTTTATATTCTTCTTCATAAACAATAACAACGTAAACCATGACGACGGCATAAATCTAGTTCAACATAGAGTGAATTCACATAAAACAATACTTTATCTTGAAAATGATTAGAAAAAAATATTTATTTTACTTTTTAGATGTTCGATCGAATTTGGACTTTTTTGATTTTCTTATTTGATTATTTATCAATTATTGTTAAAACTTTACCACGTGATATTCGTGGTCTTTATAAAATATTTCGACATTCCATAATAATTAAATATCATGTATATCGTAAACGAGATTTTATTGCTATATTTCGTGATAATGTGAAATGTTACAAATCAAAGTCATGTTTTATTTTCGAAGATACATCTCTTTCGTTTCAACAAGTTTGTTTATTTATTTAAAAAAATGCATATTGACTTAAATAATCTAGTTTAATTTTTGTTTTCGATTTTCAGGTCGAGGATTTAACAAATCAATTAGCAAATTACTTCTTAGCTGAAGGTTATTGTCATGGCGATGTTATTGCACTTCTGTTAGATAATTCTATTGAATATCCATGCGTATGGATTGCATTGAGTAAAATAGGTTGTATTACAGCATTAATCAATTCAAATTTACGTGCCACACCACTTCTTCATTCTATTCGAACAGTGAATGCTAAAGGTATTATTACTTCAAAGCAACTTCTTCCAGGTAAACTCACAATGTTTGACGTTTGTTTTTTCGTCTTCAAAAACTTAAAATTTTAATAGAAGTCGAATCAGAATTAAAGGAATTAAATGTGAATAAAGTCTATTTATTTGATCCAAAGCAAAAATCAGCAACACATTTTTCTAATGGTCACTCATCAATGTTACCATTTGAAACAGTTCAACTATACGACAAACTTGAACAATGTTCAACTCAACCTACAAAACCTATTCCATATAATTTAAAACGTACGATAATTACATTAATAGAAAATTTAAATATTGATTATTTTTCTTATTCTTTATCTTGATTAGATCCAGTCTTCTATATCTTTACGTCCGGAACAACTGGTCTACCAAAAGCAGCTGTTATTAAGCATTCAAGGTTGATTGAAGAAATATTCATTAATTTTAGTGTAACAACAAAATAATTCAAAATCCTTTGGTTAAGAAATTTAGAAAAATTCTAATCGATCATAGCTAAGAGACGCATCCGATCCGCTTAACACTACTTTAAAAAAAGGATAAGAAGAAAGTAAACGTCCTTCATGCTGCAATGAACCCAGAAGAAAGAATTCTTGATGTCATATTTCAATCAACTTTAATTCAGCATATTACAGTACATACTAAGTATTAATATGTAGTTTTAAAATTGCTGCAATAGGACAACAAGGCTTTTATATTTGAGTGATATAATAGTTGCACGAAGCGAATATTGATAAGAGCTAGCTAAGAGAAAAGAGCGGTCTATTGAAAAATAGGATTCTTTCTCGTATTGATGTTGCGCAGTAATTTTAGTGCTCTTTTATAACATACTTAAAAACAAATTCTTCGATTGCCTAAACTACAAAAAAATATGTTGACAATGTCTGAAGGGCTCATTAGCGAAAGGAAAATTGTTTACATGAGTTACATATAATGAGGCCGTTTTAAAATAGAAACATATGCAAATAAAAGCAAAACTCGATTTATAGCTATTAATTGAAGAACGTCTTTATCTGCGTAGGAATTCAAACGTATTTTAATACGAAAGAACTCTTTCATAATTTGTTCTCTGAAGTATTTCTTCTAAGCGAAAGAACTTCTTTTGTTTTTTCAAAATAAATATAAAAACATGTTGTCGAAAAAACGATCTCAAATAAACAATGCTCATGTTTTCAACTACTGTTCTCTGCGCTATTTCTTTGTACAAAACTAAATCTGGGTGTAGTATGAAAACTTTGATTATTATTAGTTGTTCAGTAAGATATTGTTTTTATGTTTATGCAAGTATTTCTGAATTTAAGATCTATTGTAAACTCTATTTCAAAACAATTCATATGATTTTTGCTTTTTAACATGATCATATATTCATAGCTTACTATGTCTCTAAAACACTAAGATGCTCTAACAGTTCTTGTTTCGATTAATACTTCTGGCATGATAGAATCTAACTATCAAATACAACAGTCATTAAATTTAAGAAAAAATGCTGACAATCGAACAAATCGGAAATAACATTTTAGCTCTAAAAACAAAATGTGCGAAGCTTATCCAAATGCCATCAGGATAGTTGAATTCTCGTCGAATACTGATGATATGTATCAATCTAACTAAGAACTAAAATGACTATGCTAAAATTTCTTAATTTACTATTGATCGTTCTCTACAGATTTTTTCTTGGTTCATTTGGTTTTATTGTGGCAACTGGCATTACCGATAAGGATGTTATGTATGATACTCTGCCACTTTATCATTCATTAGGTATGTTCTTTTTTTTTCAAAAGCAAATTTTTCTTTTTATGAAATCGTTTGTCTTTTTGTTTAGGTGGCTGGATTTGTATTACTTACAGGTATATTTAGATAGCTACTCTAGAAGAAATAAAACGATGTATTTGTTTTTCTTTCTTAGTCTCTTAGGAGGTTGTACAACAGTACTACGTAAAAAATTCTCAGCTTCAAATTTTTGGAAAGATTGTGTCAGATATAGATGCACAGTAATCACATGCTATTTTTTGTATGAAATAATTAATCTTTTACCTATAACAAGGGGTTTACATATGTTGGTGAATTATTACGATTTTTACTTGCTCAACCATTAAGTGAATATGATAGAAAACATTCAATACGTCTTTGTTGTGGTAACGGACTTCGAAAAAATCTATGGATACCATTCGTTGAACGATTTAATATACGAAGCGTTTACGAATTCTATGCAGCTACTGAAAGCAATGCTTATTTTTGTAAAAGAGAAAAGCCTTTTTTGTTTTGTTTTCTATTGCATGGTACTATGTTTTTGTTTTAGTTAATATTGATTCTTATCCAGGTGCTTGTGGATTTTATTCATTAATTGCTCCTCGTGCACTTGGAAGTGTACTTGTACGATTCGATAATATAACATTAGAACCCATACGCAATGAAAAGACCCAATTATGTGTGCGATGTAAAACAGGCGAACGTGGATTACTATTAGGAATGATTGAAAACAATCTATTACATGCATTTGATGGTTATGTTAATAATCCATCAGGAACAAAACGAAAAATTGTTGAACATATTTATAAGAAAGGTGATCGTGCTTTTAATACAGGTAATATTATTGAAATAAATTGAATCTAAGAAAATTTGACTTTGTTGTTTTAATAGGTGATGTTATGGTAGCAGATAAATATGGCTATTTATATTTTTGTGATCGTACAGGCGATACATATCGTTGGAAAGGTGAAAATGTGTCAACAGTGGAAGTTGAAAATATTCTTATGAATGTTCTCAATCGAAATGATGTTGTTGTTTTCGGAGTTTCAATACCAGGTATGTTGATTGTATTTATTTTATTTACGAAATAGTGCAGCAGCAGCAATAAGTAAAGTAGAAGTTCAAAGACAAAAATTGAGTATAGAACTTTTCAGATTTATTGTCAATCAGATTAATCTATAAAAAAATCTAGTACTACTTTGTAAGTGGATTGTAATAGGAAAAGTCTTAATTAAGTTTAATCATTTTCGTTGTCGTGATCAAAATTCTATACTTCAAATCAAAAAAACAAAAAAAAATGAACTATTCGTGTACAACTTTCTGCTTTAGTGACTTCACTTTCTAAAGATATGTTGTAAATACAGACAACTATTTTATTGCATGAATGCTACAAAGAACTATTCCTTCTATGAAATCTTGAGATCAAGAAGTTTTTGTGAACATGCTTAAACTTTATCACACATCAACTTTACTTATTGTCAACGATATTTAAATGATTAGTACTGAAAATTTCCTTTATACATCGCGAGATAATAGTAGCTACAATAAAAGATCTCGTTCTTACGTAAGAAAAGATTCGTTGTTCGGAACCCTACCTTATTGAAACATTGGATATAATCTATTCATTCTGAGGCAATATTTTTACATTTCAAATGAAAGGCAAATAGTATTTATACAGACTCAAAGATGCTCAGGTCTTGATTTCATTCGTATTTACATTGATATACTTATTTGTTTTTCTTTTGATAGAAACCGATGGTAAGGCAGGAATGGCTGTTGTTCTTGATGATCTTGCCGCACCAACTGATATGAATACATTAGCAACAGATCTGAAAAAGAATGGACTACCATCATATGCTCGTCCATGTTTTATTCGTCTTACAAAACATATTGAATTAACTGGTTTGTTCATAGCTATTATATTTCGTTTGATGAATTTTCTTTTCTTTTCAAGGAACATTTAAAGTTAAGAAAAATGTATATCAGGATGAAGGTTTTGATGTTAAACTTATGACTGAACCCGTATATTATTTAAACCAACAGAAGCAGACATACGAAAGATTAACATCTGAAATATATGATTCAATAATGAACGAAAAAATAAAATTCTGAACGAAATCGCTCAATCTCTTACGTTGAACAAGCTCTTTTTATGTTCCGTCCTTTATGTGATCTGTTTGCCGCTTTCTTTCTTTTTTTAACAGACGTGCACTGAGTGATATTGCTCTTGAGTTTTAATCTCATATCTGTTTCAACAGTCTGTTTTTATAGAAAAACAGAAACGATTAAGCAAATGAACAATTTTTGACATGCAGTATTCTATATGTTTCTTTCAGTTGATTGTTTATTCTATTCTTTTTCTTATTTTTTTTTCTTTTTGTCATATTATTGAATTTGACTTTTCCATGTTACGTTATGATTTATCGTACTTTTTTGTTGTTATTGTTGGTTTGTTTGACGTGTCTCTTTTACTTCACAATTTTTTAGATAAACTTGGCCACACAAGTTGATCTAATGTTTTTCAAAAACAACACTTATATATTTTAATGTGTTTTTCGCAAGACAAATAAATAACTTCATAATAAAACTTCATCAATTATTTCTCAAAATGAAACATCAATAGAAACCTTGGTTGAATTCAATCGAGTCCAAAGAAGAAAATCAACAGTGTGCAATGAAAATTCGTGTATATCACCAAAATGAATACAATAGAAAATCGATTTTGAATCTTTCTTATTGATTATTAGTGTTTTCATAAGTGATGTACTGGTTAAAGATGCATTGTAAGTGTTTGATTTGTAAATTCATTTGATAAGAAACAATGCTCTATAGAAAAAAATTCATATATACCATGAACGATTTCGTTTGTATCTATAATTATCTTATCGAATTCTCAAGATATTGTAAATTCAGACAAAAAACAATTTTTCGTCGCTGCTCTCTAGAACAACGGTCGTTTGGTTCATTACAAATGAAAGTTAAAATCAAAATTCATTGGTCAATTTTTCCTTTTCATATTTGATAATAGATCAGAACACTAGTGGAGTGATTTCAACTGAAAAATAGTTTGCTTATAGTACATATTATCTTAGGTTTTTTCTTCTTCATAGGAATCAGTAAATTCACTCATTATAGATGTTCCATTTAAATATATAGATGATCCTGTTTGATGAATTCACACTAGGTACTATTCCAACTGGGAAATAATACTGAAGATCATATTTAGAGTAACAAAAAAGCAAAATTTCAATATTTACTATTACTTATGGATAAGTCGAATAATTCTTAGAATAATCTTTTGTCGAGATATTGAATTTATAAAAAAGAAAAATAGTTAACCACAAGTATGACATAAAAGTCAAATTTACCTGACTATGCAATGTCTCAACTTTGATAGATATACTTTTCTGTTGAAAATTTCTCATAATTTAAGACTTATTAGATTAGTTTTTGTATCTCATAAAGGTTTCTGTTATTTCTATTGGTCATGAGACTGACGAATTGGTTTAACATATGTATGGAAAGGAAAAAAGAAAAGGAGTTGTTGGAGTCGTAAAAGGGATTCTAGTTGGTGTTAGTTTGAAGAAATAAAGTGTTAGGTAAACGTAACTATCTAACAGTTTCCTTGTAGAACCGTTTAGATCTAATAGTATTTATCCTTATGAGTTTACTTCTTTCGTTAAGGCAAACAGTTTTATGAAAATATTATGTTATTGAAAACATTTTGCTTATTTTTCAGATGAAGAATTCGAAATTGTATCAAAAGATATTTATACTAATAACTGTTCTTATTTTCTAGATTATTCACATTTATTTATTTTTGAAAATAAAAACGATGAATTATGAAAATTTATGTCAAATATGTCAAGAAAAATCAGCACCCTATAAGTGTCCAAAATGTCAAATGAAGTATTGTTGTTTGACATGTTATCGTGATGTATTACATGAAAACTGTTCGAAAAAATTTGATGAGAATGAATTTTTCGATTCTATGAATATTGATGAAAATGCTCATGAAAATCAAACAACAACAAATAGCTTTGTACGAGAACGAATTGAAGATATTTTAAAAAGAAAAGCGGATGAAAAAGATTTTCATAATGAAGAAGATGATAAAGAAATTGAAGAATTATTTGAACATTTACTACCATCAAAAGATTCAGAGCCTTATCGTGAAGTAAGTTTTATGACTATATTTGATCGTGTTTTTTAAGTGTAAGGCACTTCAGGATAATTTTTTCAAGAGCAGCACCACAGTTTGTATTGACTTGATTTGAAGTATTTCACAATCAAAAATTTGTATATCATATTGATTCGTATGTTTCTACATTATTTTATATTTATAGACAATGGGTGATATAGATGATGAGGCGGAAGGCGATGGCGAAGAAGATGAACGTGAAGAATGCATTGCAAGTGATGAAGAACCTATGCCTGATTTACCTGATGATTTTGATGAATCAGATGAAAATATTAATCAGCTATGGAATTGTTTAACGGCAGAAGAAAAAAATGAATTTAAATCCATGTTAAGTGATGGACGCATATCACATTTACTCAATGAGTACAAACCATGGGAACCATGGTGGTTATATAAAACGCAAGCACCTGCTCTTATTACTGACTTAGAAACTACAACAGCTCTTCCATCGTCGCCTAACTTACCTGATACTATTCCAACTGTAGAATCTACTATAGTGCCACTACCATCATTGACTTCCATTCTTCCTCATATTCATGTTCGATTTGATGTTTTTGAAATTCTCTTTGCTTATGTTCTAATTAGTGTTCGCTATCGGGGAGACTTTAATTCCTACATATATGAATCAGGAATGGAATTTCTACATATAGCTTCAAGACATTTTACACAAAAATCAGACATATTCGATGAACAAGAAGATCCAATGTCTGTTCTTCATACGCGTATTTCATTACTTCGTGAAAATTTACAAGATGAAAAAATATCTTATCGCATATCGGAAGAATTTTTTGTTAATTTACTTGCTGATAGTTTAAACATTATTCATGGTCCATATCCACGTCAATCATCATCAAGTATTTATGTACTAGCCGCTCTATCGGATATTAAAAGGTTTCTAGTTAAAATTCAAGAATACAAACCATCTGAAGAACCAACAATAATTAAAGAATTAAATAAATCCACATCAACACCTATCAATGTCTTTCATACAAATCGAATCATCAAACCAAAGATAATAGTAAATAGATCTGTAAGTTTTTATGAAGAAAAATACAATAGTATAATTAAATATTTGAAAATTTTTCTTCTAGACTAATAGTAAATTATATATTCATCCTCAATCAACTGTTTCCAAATCATCAAATGCAATGAAAAGAAAAAAAGATGAAACTTCAAAAACATTCAATCGTAAAATAGTTTTAAATCTTTCACGTAAAATTGATTATCTTCTAAGTTGGACAATGGCTCATTCAAGTCGCCTTCTTATGCTTGAAAGTGAACTCCAAGGAATCGAGCTGGATCTTCGTCATCAATTGAATCAATATCAACGAGATAAAAATTGTATCGAAAAAAATCTAAAACATATTCGTTTACAACAACAAACAGTCAATGGTTCAAAGCGTATTCAAGAATTGTAAACTTCTGTATATATACTTTACTATTTTTTTTTTGTTTTAATCAAATAAAGAAAAAGAACCAGAATGGTGAATCAAAAGATAAAGAAGACATAAAGTATGTGTAGAAGATATCACGAAAAACAGAGAAAAAAATGCCAAGGCCACATTTTTTTTTATCAGTTTATGATAATAGAGAACTTAAGCGATTCTGTGAAGTTGGTACAGTTATTTAAATAAAACTCATGATGAATAGAAACACGAAAATAGATCATAGTGCCTATGACTCACAAAGTTTAAATCGTCCCACCACGGCATCAGCCTTTCATTCAACGTCGGTTATGAAATATATGGCGCCACGTACTTTAGGTCTTAATCTTTCGAGTAGCTTTCAAGGATCATTACGTAGTTTTGCTCTTCCGAGTGTGGATTCAAGTCTATTAGCATCAACTGCAACAGCAAACTATGGTCTTGTTGCATTAGTTCAAAATGCACCATCATCAATTGTATCCCCATTGCGTAATTTTGATGGTGAATTTGTTATTGATGAACATCGTGAATTATCAAAATTAAATGAAACACTAGCAGACAATGTTCTACTTTATTGTCATTATGAAGTACATAATCGTGCACAAGAATCGCAAATAGAATTATTGCAAGCAAATTCAAATAAAAATTCTATGACTATTGAAAAAATGTTTCAAACAGAAATTGAAACCGCACATCAATTGGTCGAGGATGCATCACGTTACAAATCAGATTTAAATAAAAAACTAGATGATATTCATCAAGCTACACTAGCTCATGATGAACACTATCAACAATTATTAGCAAAACGAAATGCAACAAATAAAGATATATTTGAATATCAACGTCAATTAGCCCAAAATCGAGCCGAATCAGAATTTCTTCGTTGTCGTGTACAACAATTTAACGATGAAATTAACTTTTATACATTAAAAAATAATATTTTACAAGCCAGAGAGGCTAAATTACGCTATGAATTAGATGAAGAAATATTTGCTCAACAAGTTTTACATATGGAATTCGAAGTACTAGCAAAAGAAAAAATAACAAATGAAGATGTACATTTAACATCGATGAATGATGCTCGACAAACAATAAATCTTAATCAATTAGCGGCTATTGAACCAGCGAATCATTTTCGTGAACAATTAAGTTACGAATTACGTCGTATGCGTGCTGAATATGAGAAAAAAATTCAAGCATATAGAGAAGAATTACATCGAAAATTAGAACTTGAATATCATCGTTATCGAATGCATAAAGTGATTCCGTTGCCTAGCATGACAAAAGAACAAGAAATAAATTTAGAGCAATATGAACACGAGAAAAAGAATACAGAACAACAAATTCAAATTATACGTGAAAATAATAATAAAATACAAAGTCAAATAGGTACATTGGAAAAAAATATTCTTGGTCTAACAACTGATATAGAACCTGTATCAAACTCACAAAGACATTTAGACATGCTTAAACAGGTTATTCGAGACAGAGAAAAACAACTAAATGAAGCTATTCAACTTCGAACGAAGCTTAAGCAAAATATTGAAAATTATCATGAACAAGTTCAAGAACATTCAAAACGACCAATAATCTATTCGAAAGAAATTGATCAGCCAACAATGCCTACAAAACAGGAGCTGACGTATAGAAGTGACCAACCAACAATGCCTACAAAACAGGAACTGACATATAGAAGTGATCAACCAACAATATCTACAAAACAGGAGCTGACGTATAGAAGCGATCAGCCAACGATATTTACAAAACAGGAAATGCCATACAGAAATAAGCAGCAGATGCAATCATCATCAACAACTATTCAATTGGTTTCTCCTTCGTTACCTTCAAAAATAAGTCCGACTGAAGAAATACCACTAGAAGGAACATTAATACGATATAATGATTTTAATGTTGAACAAGGTTTAATTTTAATAATTAGTATTTTTCTGATGTGCCAAATATGTTTTTTCTCTTTTCTTCATTTAGATTGCAAAGATTTAAATACGAGCTTACAAATAGCGAGCTTAGATGAAGTGGGTGTTATTCGAATACTTTGTAATCGAACCGTTGCTCAACGTCTTCAAATTCGCGATAGATATAAAAATCTATATGGTGAAGTAAGTTTGTTAAAAATCTATTTATGTAGTTCATATCGAAAAATCTTAAGCTCACTAATTACTATGAATTAATTTTCGATTTAATCCTAACTTCAATGGCAGCATTTTCTTATAGTTAGAAAGTAATCAATTTTCTATTAGCTATCCAATATGTAAATTTTATTGAAAACACTAACAAACAAACATTTACATTGCGCTTGAAACTTGCGTTAGAGTATTTTCATTGGACAGTCGTTCCTAATTCGATTATTTATTGATATATTGTTTCAACAAAAATTAGCTTCTCATTTATCAATAATTACGAATAATAATATGACACTAATAGAATCTAAGTAGTAGATATAATATAAGCATGCATATGATAGTCCTTGTGTGTTAATTATTTCTAAATAAATTTAACTTTGAGTGAATCTAAGTTTTAGATGAATTTTAACAAAAAGTGAAGTTCGTTCCAATACAATTTGTATTAAACTTTCAGATATTTAGTCAACAGATATTCTAATTTAATTTGTAGAGTACCATCGATTAATGAATATAAAAATAAATAAATACAACTTACTGTTGAATTATTCATTTTCTTACTATTAATTTTTTTTAAAGCTGCAAGATTAGTTCCAAAATAGGAAGAGATTTCTTCAAGGGGGAAAAGGCGGATTTGGGGTTTGGGATTTTTTTGGGATTTTGAAAATTCCAAAATCCAAAACGTGAATGATGGAATTTCCATCTGAATTTTTTCCCATATGTAAGTCTCATGATTCTTAGAATATTCTAAAATTTGTAGCGCAAACAGACGTTTCCTTCTCAAGATAATGAATGCGCAAGAAATATTCATTTCACGGCGCGGTCACAAAATTTAGTTTTTTTGAAAATTCAATATTTTAGGAAGGAAACATTTATTCGAGTTGAAACTTTTAGGATCTTTTATGGACCATGAAACCTATATATGGGAAGAATTTCAGGTCGAAACTACGTCATTCACAGAAGGGAAAATGCTTTTCAATTTATGGGATTTTGGGATTTTCAAAATCCCAAAAATCCGCTTTTCCTCCTTGGATTTCTTTCTGGAGCGATCATATCATCACTGCACTCAATTTTTTCAGTGCCAGAGGTGGTACACATCTCTGTTAGAGAAAACCGATCAGTTATGTATGTCGTTGATAAGAGACCAGCTCAGATACCAAGAAAAACATGCATCGATACAATAATTGGTATTTCGGTAAATCACATGCAGCCCGAAAACGGTGGTCTGCTCATATTAGAGCCAGGAAGATCGCTGAACTCGTGCATGTCAAACTTCGAATGGGTTTCTGTCCATTAATAGCGTCGCTCAAACAGGATTCAATCAATTTATATTCTATTACAATTAATTCTTCTAGACTTTCAAAAACTCCGATATTAAATCTGTTCTTCTTAGGTTACGTTCAACTATGTACGCATGAGATAATAGTAAAATTTTAATATGACAAAACAAATGCGCATCCCGTGATAGTTCGATATATGACTATTTATCGCGTTAAAATAGGAAGTAGATATCTTTTTTTTTTCTTTCTTTCAATGTGGATACCCTGAGCTTTCATATTGTATTTATTCTTTTATGCTAAAACTACAAAACAAAATCGTGATAGACACAGCTGTTTGTAATTACAGAAGCAATCTTGAAATCGCTTTTACTAATAGTTTATTTTAGAACTTAAGTGATGTTTTTGAAGCCGTAATAAATGGAAATGGGAAAACGATCTTAAATGTACTTTTATTATCACCGGTTGAATATGATTGTTTTGAATTACGACGAATATTAAAAGGAAAAAAGTCAGATGAAAATGTTTTCATTGAAATATGTCTTACCCGTTCGAATAAACAAATCAAAGCCATAGTTGATAATTATTCAAAAAGTAAGTTCATCTCGTTATCAAATGAAACTCGATTTTTGTTTTTGCTGTTTTTATTCTAATAAAATAATTAGTATTCAAAAGTTCATTACAAGACGATATAATCGGTGATCAAGAAACACCATCAAAACTAATAATTATTGCATTACTTCAAGCTAATCGACCAGAAAATGATAATATTGACGACGATGAAGTATTAGAAGATGCTCAACAACTGTATCAAACCAATTCAAAGTGGCGAAAAGATGGTTCAATGTTTGTTCGACTTTTATGTAATCGCAGGTATCCAGTGATGATGATTAATTTTCATTTATTTTCTCTTCGATAATAAAGATTATTTTCATATATTATAGCACCGAAAATTTGAAGCAAATTTTTGCTGCTTATCAAGAATTTAGTGGAATTGATATTGAAGATTCGATTCAAATTGACAAAGATCTTGATCTTAGTCGTACTTTAATGACTATTGGTAATGAAACGTTCTTTGTTTAATTTTGAAATCGATCGAAATTTTCTTCTAATAGTTCGAATCGTAAGAAATCGAGCAAGGTTTTTTGCATTTGAATTGAAAAAGAGTCTTAAAGTAAATAGAACTATTTTTCACTCGTAATAATTTAATTCAAACTTCTTTTTGCTTCTGCTTTTCTAGACTTCTGGTAGTAATGAAGAAAATCTAACTCGTATTATTGTTTCAAGATGCGAGATTGATATGGTACAGATAAAATCTGAATTCGAAAAAATATCTAAACGCACACTTTTTGATCAAATTCAAGTGCGTTTAAATAAATTCTATTTTTATAGTTATTTAGAACTAATTTCATTCCTACTTTATTCTAGACCGATACTAGTGGAAACTTGAAATGTGCTCTTTTAGAATTGTTACGGAAACGGAATGAAACTGTTAATAATGATGCATCATTTAAACAACTAGTCGAAGTATCATTACCAGTAAGAAAACCTCGATCAACTGTACAATGGAAAGTACCAATTAGTGAAAAATCATTCATAAGAAGTTCGAGCAATCGAAATACTACTAGCACGAATCAATTTGATCGAAATAATCATGAAAAACTGAATACACTTTTAAAATTGAATACTCGACCAACACATTTATCATTTCGTGAAGGACGTCCAAACGATCAACAGTCGTCGAATGACGATGAGAATAATGGCGGATAAAAATTTTTCACATTATCTAATTGCGTATTTTTTTCAATATTATTAATGAATAAATATTTAATATATATAAAATTATTCTGTCACGTTTTATGTGACCCCAGTGAATCAAATGCATCAGCTGTTTAATTGTTATATATTGATAAAAACCAAAATAGTATGCTTGGGTGCACATTTTCATTTCTTTTTCTTTCTCATGATGCTTTCAAAAGAGAGAGAAAAATCGATGTATTTTTATTCAAGCAGTTGTACAAGTATATTTAATAATGTCTAGATATTTATATATAGATATCAATTTCATTTACTCAAAGCACTATTGAAATCAATAATTACGAATAGAAAATAATTCGGAAGATATTGTGTTATGATGTTTGATTTTATTAAAGGATTTTCTTCATTTATTCTAATTATTCTAACAAATATTATTACCGGACCTATTTCCATTGTATCGAATTATTATTTAATCAAGTCAGATTCGATCTCTACAAGTTTAACATCATGCAATTTAATGATTACAATTTCTTTTGGACTCATGGATTCAATTCTATATGGTATTGGCATATATTTATCGATGCGAACAGTTTATGAATCACATGACCAACTAACGTTGTCTAATAAACAAATTGTACATTATCATAAACGATTTGAGTCCATTCTAATAAAAGAAAAGCATTTATTAGAACCGATCGGTCAACAAATTGATATATTAATTCAAAATCAAATAAATTTAGATGCTTTAATTAACGATTTAGTTAAAGATAATTATAGAGACCAACCATTGATAGAAAATATTCTAAATAAATTAGCAACATTGAACTTTATTCAAAACGATAGTATAAGAACAATCGAAAAGAATATTAAGGAAAGTATCCGATTATTAAAATTAAATTCAACGATAAATGAAAACAATCCTGGATTACATCAGAATTATTTTGACAATTTAGTATTATCAAATGATTATCTCTACGATCGAATTTATTCATTTATTTTTTCCATATCATTTCTTATATATATTCAGCAAATATTGCTTTGGCTTTTACAATATTTAACTTTGAAAAATCCTGAAAAATATATTTCATATTCATTCATTCTTTCCACTATTATTATTTGCCAATCACTAACTTTAATTTATTTCATTGAAATAACGAACACATTTCATTATCTTTCTCCATTGTATATTTACACATGTCTTTTTGTTATTCGAAGTTTTATAGTAATCTATCAGAATTGTTTTTCTATTCATTAATCTTGAATACAATTGTATATCTTCATTGAGAAACATAGAAATAAATATGCTCAAATATTCAATGTTTACTCTTATCTTTTGAAAAAGTATTTCAACGATCTGATCTCAGTATTTGTCTTTCTATGAAACAACATCTAATTCGAAACGTGCAATAGCCGGTGGCAGTTTTGATGCTTATCGGCTGATTGTTGTTCACTGACTAGCAATCATAAAAGATGCTTGGTACAGAAAAAAAAAGAATATATGTGAGATGTGTAGTTTTCTGTTACTGATTACTAATGTCAATAATTCAGTGAAGTTAGTGCATATTAAGATAAGGAAATTAGTATTCACTGAAGCATTATAATACACTACTGTCAAAAAGGCATATTTTGATAGAACTGATGTCTTGCCGTTTCAACTTGTAATGATGACTGCCTTGCTCAATGCTACAGTCTTAACAGTCACAATGCACATTCATAACACATGGATTTACTGAAACATGAGAACAATCGAGGGAGAGCTATGGAATAAAAGTACGATAGCTACAAAACAATGAGAGAGAGAGAATGCGAGATGGCATCAAGTGAAGATGCTACCTAACATTATGTTACATAGTTTCGAAAGAAAACTTTGCAATACCTTATCAGTTCTCTTCTTATATGTTGATGACTATTCTTAGCTGCTGCTCATTGTCGTTATTGCCCTGTTGAACAACGTGAAACGATTTACAAAACCAAGATCTCTCACAATGTATTTCGTTACCATTCCTTCATCTGATAGAAAAGAGACACGAAAGTTAACGCTTTATTTTATTCAAGAAAAAAGCACTATGCAAAAGAGAACCAATCAATTCAATTGTGAGATACAGGATGGATACAGCAGCTAATAATTCTGTTCGAGAAGTTAAATCTTAGATGAAAGTCATGGACTTAATTTTTCATTGTCATGATAATTTTTCTCCATTCGCTATTGTTATCTAAATATTTAGCTGTCCCAGCACGCCAACCCCCGCCGCCGTGAAGTTGCCAACTTAATCGATTTTCTGCATTGTCTTTTTCGTTATAATCCGCTCTGTCACAGTTGATCGTTGTTGATGATGGAGCGAATCCAAATGATTTGCTCGGTGTTAAGTACCAGTTTACGTTGCCAAACGTTGTTGGCCGATTTAAAGGGCTATCTAAAGATAAAATTTCTAATGGTCCCATTGCTGCTATCTTTAATATCATTGATGAACTTCCTTGTATAGCACCGACCATAATTTGTTTCTTACACTGAGCTACTAATGCTCTTAATTCTGCAACTGTTGTTACATGACTATACGGATGATCATAAATGATATTCCACGAAGAAGCCAAAGATGACAATGGTACATCATGAGCAACACTTGATGAGAGCCAGTCTATTAAAGAATGTAAATTGATACTTGCGTCAAGTTTCTGCACATTTTGTTGTAAATTTTCAACTAGTTTTTCTAATGATTCGATTTTCTTATTACTTTGATTCATCATATTCATCACACAATCTAATTGCTCGTGTGTTTCTCGTTTCTTATAAACTAGTCTACATCGTTTGCATTCGATAGTAATTTCACCACACTTTTGCTCATGTTGATCCAAATCGTTTTTTAACACATTATTCTGACAACCGCGACATATCTTCATTTGATACTGACACTGTTCTTGTTGATGTTTCTCAAGTGATTCATATGGTAATATATCATCACAGCCATTGTGCTTGTTTTCGCATGCAATTTTAAATTTGCACAATAAAGCATAAAGTAATGGCGAGCAACGCTTTTCTTGATAATGCTGACATAATGGACACACATTCGGCTTTTCTTTCAAGCATTTGTCAATACAACTCTTGCAAAAGACTCGTTGACAATTTTGACATTCAACTGGTTTCCATAGTAAATGAACACAAATCGGACAGAGATATTCATCATCAATTGGACTAATATTTATAATACGTTCGTTGGAAATCTCCATCGAAAATTAGTTTTAAACTAGGAACGAAACAAAAGAGCTGTATGCAAAATCTCTATGAGTTTAAATTGTGAAAAGCAATGTGCCTACTTCTGATAATCACAGGCAGAATGTTTTATACGATCTATTTTGGGACCCACTTGTTTGCCAAAGTCTTACTCGTTGGTGGGAATGCTTCTCAAAGGCGTCTTTTACAATCTATCAATATAATAAGGTATAAAAAGAGATTGTTACCAATGTTTTTTATGTCTGCGACAAGCCACTTCTAACATATGTATCATGTTCTATTGATGTGGTGAGAATGTTTAGCCTATATAGCTTAGTTCAATACTGCGTTTAGATAGCGTTTCCAAAAATTAAAGAATAGATTTGAAATTTAATAGAACGATGCGTTATAACTAATTTTATCAATAAATAATATGTATTTTTAGACGTGTAACTTCAATAATTCATATTCATGTAATAAATATCTTTTATTATTACATTTCTACTGGTAGAAAATATTTTAGAGGTTCTCCCTATTCTAGAAGTTGTTATTCTATTAATTTTTAGAAAATAAGATCACTGGTTGAAATATCTGGTTCGAAAAAAGCACTATAAATATCTTGTGAAACTAATTTTACTATTGAATTGTTAGCTTTAGTTTCCTTGCTTTTGTTTTGAATGAATGATTCAAGTCTATAACCCCAAATTTTGAGTGCAATTTAAGCCAGAAATCTTACACAAATGTGGTACAAATTCCCATTCGCCATTCAGACTCGTTCAGTTCTGATTACGACTCTATTGAAAACGATTAAATATAAAATTTGTAGTCTGTTTTTAACTGTGTACGATACGATAAAATCCGTTTGTAGCACTGCTCTTACCAAGCAGTAATTTACAAATTTTTGTGACCACAGATCGTATGAAGCGACAGTATACGATACAGGCTTTTTTTCGCCTGTTTCCCATCGGGGACTTCAATTATTTTCCTGGAAAGATACCGATATTGTGAGTCAGTAAAAATTTCAGGCTGATAATCTGTCTCTATACATATATTTCTATGAAATCAAATATCGTTTGCAAACTAATTTAGACTTACATATTACGGTGAAAGTTGTTTAATAATATAAAAGATGATTACATACGTAGCCAGTCAAAAGCGATAAGAAGACGTGTTGTTGTGCGAAAATGTGCGCTTTTTACGTTTTCAAAAAATAGTTCTTTTTTATGCTAAAAAACGAGTCTAAAATCAATGAGTTTCGTTTATTTACTTCTACAAAAATAAAATGTCTTTGGATTTTGCTTTTCTATCAACGAAAAAAAGAGCGTACTTTATGCGTGAAACTCGTTAAAACATACCAGCGCCTGGCTAGATATACTTATCACTTGCTTTTACTGATGAAGTAGTCAAACAAACTGTATTTCATTCCATGTTAAATAGGAAAACCCTCTCACGATTATAATCGTTGTGGCATTCTTACCAACTTGTTTGTGTGAAATGTAGGAAAAACAGTCTTCTTTTTCGTCGTATCAATCGTTTCGCGAGGAAAAGCACTATCGAATTTTAAGAATTTTCTGTTTTTCGTTGGAATAATATTTTAGCCTTCGTGATGGTTAGACTTGAAGATTGTGTCAATCAATCGGTGGAAACTAACTCATACTAGTTGTGGCAAAACGGAGTAATGAAAAATTCTTTGCTTTTATTCTTTCGTTGGAAAATATGTATAGAAGGAGAAAAACGATTTCGGTTAAAGTTTTTAGTGTTCGTCGTCGACTTATCAAATTTTTATTTCGAGAAATCGACTAAAAATGTGGATTATTCTATTGTAGAAAGCTATTTTGTTCGAATCTAAAAACGATCATGAAATCCGTGGACTTTCCGTTGGTCGAAAACATACAAGTAGTGTCCTTTCCTGTTGATACTTTTTCTCAGAGATGGGCAAGTCAGCGTTTTTTCGACTCAAGTCAAGTCAAGTCAGTTTCTGAAAATTTCAAGTCAAGTCAAGTCAAGTCAAGTCAAGTCAAGTCATGAGTAGTTCAAAATATTTTCAAGTCGAGCACTTTTTCAAGTCAAGTCAAGTCAAGTCTGATTTCAAGTCAAGTCAATTTGAGTCATAATTCATTCAAAAAATCATCAGGTGAAGTCATTTTTTGACTTGACTTGCCCATCTTTGATTTATTATTTGTATTTTTCTTCTACATTTCAAATTGGAGTTCAAAAATTCAATTAATAAAAGTTCTCTATACATATAATTTTTGACTTGACTTGAATTTCTCTGTACGACTTGTTGCAAGTCAAGTCAAGTCATTCTGAAAATTTTCAAGTCAAGCCATGACCCATCACTGACTTGACTTGCCCATCTCTGCTTTTTCTTATCAAAAAATGTTTTTTTTATCAAATTTGAAGTAGCACAGATGAGTATTATTCGATCTTACCATTTAGTTAAAGAAAGCAACTTAATCATTTATATCAGCTATTCTCTAAAAAAATGATCCTCTCAGACAAGCTGAACTTTGAACCATCCAGAAGAAAAGATATTGAATGATGCTGACGTGAACGTCGAAACATATTACATTAAAAAAGAAAAATCAAAGATTATGATTTAATAGAAAAGTGTTTTTCTTTCAAAGCAAAAACAATCCCAGAGAAAAATTCAATTACCAATAATCAAAACACACACACACACACACAGAAATCTTTTTCATGAACATTGTTTCATTGTTTTAAACAAAGTCAAACCGGGAATATATACGAAGAAAACTTATGATCGTCATACGTACATAAACCAACACAAATAGATGATTAGAATAGATAATCACAGTAATAAGAGTTGTGAAAAAACAAGCAAAACACAAAATTTATAACAAAAAAAAACAGTATTGCATTAAAAAAAACTGAACGAAACGAAAAAGTAGATTTTTTAAAGATATCATTAGTATCATAAAAATGAATTGCACATAATGCATAAGAATTACTCATTCGAGGATAGATATTTCTCGGTTAAAGATTACCAAACGGATTATTGATCTGTTCCTGGTTAACCAGTGCAGCATTGTGGAATGGTTGACCTGAAAATGGATTTGTATTAACATTCGTTGGATTAGTGTTCATACCAGTGAAACCCATGTGCTAGAATAATATGTATATATATTACTAAATGATTTAAGCTATAACTCAAACATACCAATGGCCCACTGGGTGCAGCGAAAGGATTATTCGCTGAAGATGTAGATGATGGTTGTTGCCACATGGCGCCCGATTGAGCAGTCATCTAAAGAAGAAAAGTTTTATTTTAAATTTCTCGATAAGTACGATCACTTACACTACTAAAAGGTGTATTCGTTGTAGTAGAATGTGCCATTGGTGCTCCGGGTGAATTCGTCTTTGCTGGAATCGAACTAAGTATTTGTCGACTTTTCACATCATCTGCCGTCCACAAATGATCTTTCCTATTAAAAAACAAAAATCTCATTTTGATGATAATAACGATAGAATTTGCTACAGAAATTTTTACCCAATTCTAGTATGATCATTTATATCCAGATGATCTATTAATTGATTGAGTGATAAATTCAAGTCACCTGTTTGAAGTGGCTTAGTAACTAATGGAGTAATCATATGATTTATTACTAATGGTGTTGAATTAGTGCTTTTAATTGTTGACAGGGAAGTCGGCTCAAGAACATCACACAAAACATTCGCTGAACACATACATAGAACATAAACGATAGTAGAGTAAAAAGCAAATTCTTACGTTGCAATATAGATGTATTAAGAACATTTTGAAACAGAGGATATGTAGTTGTGTTTGTTTGAGGTAATGGTGTAGCCAATGAAAATATATCATCAGCTACTGTTTGCTGTTGTGGTTGATTATTTGATGATGGCTGTTGAGAAAAGAAATCGGTGCTATCAAAGATATTTTCATTTGATGTCACTGTTGTTTCAATAGGAGCAGGTAGTGGTGGCGACGCTTCTTTTTTCTAAATATATTGTAAATATTTTTTGTTCGTTAAATCAAATCGAAAGTGAAATACTATGCGGTTATAGTGAATAGTTCATTAGAGAAATATAATACATCATAAAAATTATTAAATTCAGACATATCGATTATACATACTGTATTAAATTTGTCTAATGCTTTCGCTTCTTCTTGAAGAACTTTTTGTGAATCATCAGTAAAATTATCAAGAAAACCAACGGCGAAGTTCCTCGTATCTTTTTCTATTTGATTTCTGAATAAAGCACATAATAGATAATGAACTACGCACATGATAAATACTAAAATTTACTTTGTGACCACTGAATGTGTAGGAATCTTTTTGCCTTCTAAACTAGCTACATAATTTTCCAATGATTCTAAAAGATTAACTGGAGCCTATAATAAACGACAAAAATCAAGTTTAATTATTATATTTATCAGAAAACTCAAGTTTACAATCAAAATAAAGCAAATATACTTCAATCATTTCTGCTCACTTTATTTTTTTCGACTCCCTAGATTAATAAATTCCCATAAATAGTAAAATTTCTTTTTATTTTAAATTATTTACCTTGATTAAATCGCTAATTTCACTGCGATCGACGCCAAGTGGCTAAAATACAAACGATATCTTTATACAAAATTTAGCTATGAACAAATTTTCAAACATTCTCGATCATCAGAGCATAAAATCAATGAAAAATGAATTTGATAAGCACACATCTGAATTACCGGCTCCCAAAAATATCGATCAAATAATTGTTCATAACGCTAATATTATTATTATTTTCTATCTAATCATAAAACTAATGTGAACTTACTTCTGTGATTTTGAAATATTGAGTTACTTGGTCGGTTCGATCGAGAAATTTTTTGTACATATCAACTGCTTCACGACATTGTTTTTTATTCATGTTGAAATATTTTTCTAGAAGCAAACAAATTTTCGACACGAAAGTAAACTATTAAAATTCAAACCGAGTAAATTAATTATTCCATCATTATAAACAGCACAGAGATAGAGTAAGTCTTTGAAAAGAAGAAAAAAACAACTATATATAATGCCATTCGCCAGTTCATTAGGTGTAACCTAAAATATTACAGAATAAGAATCATTATGTATCTATAATTCGTTGTTGAAACAAAGGTAAGATGTACTATCATATGAAACAGCTGGCTCCTGTTATCACTGAATAAAATAAACATTTGATTATATGATTTGACGAGTAGGCCTACTAGTGAATAATATAGATTTGGAGAGTTCTATGGTATTGTGATGAATTATAGAGAATAGGCGTATAACACAGATTGTCTGATTACTTGTGGAAAGAGAAAAGTAAATCAATTTTGAAATGTTGTTTACATTTTGCAGTTCAATTTATCGGAAATTCTAATAGCGGTGAATGATTATAGCACATCGCAAAAATTATTCGTGTGATGTTTGCAATTGAAAACCCGAAAAGGTATCAAATCTTGATATTTCATCATTTATCCGAACTTATTTTTCTAGTTTATTTTCTAGATTGTTGGAAAATATTTGTTCTAACCAGTGGCGAAACCAGGGGGGCTGCGGGGGGGGGGGGGGGGGGGGGGGGGGGGGGGGGGGGGGGGGGGGGG